CTTAAAAAGGAGTATCTATACATAGTTATGCAGGCCTAACCTTTCTGCGTTTGTGCAAATAAAATAAACAGCCGAAATGACATGAAAAGCAAAATATGTATGTGAGTAGTACCTCCGCTCCCCCACGGTGGTGACAGGGCAGGCTTCAAAGCTGTTATAATTTAATAATCCAGGAAAACGAGAGGAGGGGAATCTGTCTCTACATAAATGAAGGTTGGTACACTGTCACAGTGCTACAGAGGACATGTAATGAACTTAGAAACTCTTTTTATCAATTGCAAACCTTTTTATTTTCCCCAAGAAATTTAACTCTTTCATTCTAATTGGAGTGTATATAAGAGTGTAGGCCCAACGCTAGCGCACTACAGCTCCTGGCCAAACCGATAACTAGTGTGGAGCTAGAACATCCCAACTCCCCACTCATTGTTCTAGGTGACTTTAACAGAGCAAATCTCACCCACGAGCTGCCCAAATACAGACAGCATGTCACCTGTCCCACTAGGGACAAAATCACACTGCTACACAACAATAAGAGACACCTATGGCTCTGTCCCCCGCGCAGCCCTCAGTCTCTCTAATCACTGTGTGGTCCATCTTATTGTATTTCAGACCCAGCAGCTGCTCCCCGACAATCATCACCCTTCCCTCCAGCCCCCCACCTCTAACAATCTGTGAAAAGGATGTGTGTGCCCTCTTTAAAAAACAAAAGATCACAAAGGCACCAGGCCCAGATAGCGTGACCCCTCCTGCCTGAAAGTGTATGCTGATCAGCTGGCCCCCCATCTTCAAACTCATCTTCACCAGGTCACTGAAGCTGTGTGAAGTTCCTTCTTGCTTCAAATGCTCCACCATCATTCCAGTCCCCAAGAAAACCCCAATCAGTAGACTGAACGACTACAGACCTGTCGCCTTGACATCTGTAGTTATGAAGTCCTTTGAAAGACTGGTGTCAGCCCACCTGAAGGACATCATAGACCCCCTTGCTGAACCACCTGCAGTTTGCCTACTAGACTAACAGGTCAGTGGATGATGCAGTGAACATGGCACTGCATTACATCCTGCAACACCTCGACTCCCCAGGGACCTATGCATGGGCCCTCTTTGTGGACTTCAGCTCAGCGTTCAACACCATCATCCAGGACACCCTCCACTCCAAACTGACCCAGTTCACTGTGCCTGCCCCCACCTGTCAGTGGATTATTAGCTTTCTGACAGACAGGAAGGCCACAAGAGAAAAATTGATAACAAATTGAAGAGATTGATAATGTCAATGGTAACCAAAGAGCCCAGAACAACTTCCAAAGAGATTAGAGGTGAATTCAAAGGTCAAGGTACATCAGTGTCAGATCGGACCATCCGTCGCTGTTTGAGACACAGTGGACTTCATGGAAGACGACCGAGAAGGACTCCATTGTTTAAAGCAAATCATAAAAAAGCGGGACTGGAATTTGCCAAAATGCATATTGACTGGCCACAAAGCTTCTGGTAGAATGTCCTTTGGACAGATGAGACAAAACTGGAACCGTTTGGCAAATCTCATCAGTTTTATGTTCACAGACGCAAAAATGAAGCATACAAAGAAAAGAACACTGTACCTACTGTGAAACATGGAGGACGCTCAGTTATGTTGTGGGGCTGCTTTGCTGTATTTGACACAGGGTGTCTTGAATCTGTGCAGGGTTCAATGAAATCTCAAGACTATCAAGGCATTCTGGAGCGAAATGTGCTGCCCAGTGTCAGAAAGCTTGGTCTTAGTCGCGGGTCATGGGTCCTTCAACAGGATAATGACCCAAAACACACAGCTAAAAACACCTGTTAAGGTGCACTCAAACACAGAGTGAGCGAGCAGATAAAAGCAGACCCAGGTGGCTGGCTTCGGTGCAAGCAGTGAGGTTTATTTACAGTGAAGGTAGTGACATATATACAGGAGGAGTAATGAGGTAGATGACCGGGTGTCGATCAGCAGCAGCAGAAAAACAGTCAGTGGTATGGTGGATGATGATGTACCGGGCTGCGGATGCAGAGGTCACTCCTGGGCTGGTCAAGGTGGAGGTGATGATGGCTGTAGACAGAAGAGCAGGGATAAACTGGGTAAGGGAGACTGTGCATTGACCTGGGAGGCAGTGGCTGGTGGTGTAGATTAAATTCAGGGGGGTCCAGAGGAGATGTCCGTAAGTATGGAGGAGACTAATGAGGTGCAGCTGGTGAGTAATCAGGGAAGCGGGGCAGGTGTGTTGAATAGTGTAATCAGTGCAAGGGCTAGGCTAGTGTGAGGAAAAAGAAGAGAGGAAGGTGTAGCTGGGCAAACCTGACATCACCCAAGAATGGCTAAGAACAAAACATTGGACTGTTCTGAAGTGGCCTTCTATGAACCCTGATCTAAAGCCTATTGAACATCTATGGAAAGAGCTGAAACATGCAGTCTGAGACATGAGACAGCTGGAGCAGTTTGCTCATGAGGAGTGGGCCAAAATACCTGTCAACAGGTGCAGAAGTCTCATTGGGAGTTACAGAAATCGCTTGATTGCAGTGATTGTCTCAAAAAGTTGTGCAACAAAATATTAAGTTAAAGGTACCTTCATTTTTGTCCAGGGCAGTTTCATTAGTTTGTTTTTTTAAATGCTTCTGTTGAACCACAATTCAAAAGCAATGACTGATTTTCATTAGTTAATTTTCAGTAAATTTGTATTTATTATTATTACTTTTGTCAGTTTCATGTTATTTGACTGACCATTGTGAATTTCTCTTTCTTTAACGGAAGGGTGCCAACAGTTTTGTCCACATCTGTATACAGTACTTTATTTTTACTCCTAAGGCACATTCCTTTGCTTGATTGCACATTACTTCTTTACTTCTGTTCTCAGGCTTATATTGGTTACTTGCCCACTGCTGCCTTACATAAGGCCATGTACATAAACATTGAGAGCTGTTATACCAGAGTCAAATTCCTCATGTGTCCAACACACCTGGCCAATAAAGCTGATTCTGATTCTGATTTTTATCCTCAGACTGTAATTATGCCACTTTAAGGTTTGATATTTCTTCAGCCCAGAAAATAGCCATCAAGTTTTTGAATATGCGATCAGTCGATCCAAGCACTGCCAATTTAGAAATTTACTCAGACACTATCTGAGATATGATGACCTGCTAGCTCTACTCAGCTGTAGTCGCTGAGCCAGGGAGCCATTAGAGAGGGTCTAAAGAGCCACAGGTTGCTGAGCTCTGACCTTTTAGAATATGCAGGTCTGATTTAGAACAAATGAAGATTTAAGACTATGTGCTCATGCGCTTGTTTCTTTAGCTGAAGAAGAGGTAGTACAGCATAGTCTAGTAGTGATTGGTTGTATGTTGCATTCATTAAGATTTCTCTGTTCAGAGCCTTCTGCACCACTCTGGATGCTGCTAACCTGTGGCGGTGCTACAGTATTTCCACTGTAAATATTGTGCTGCTGTTTTTAAACGAATCAAAGCAGACTGACAACTGCTCTTTTTTTTTTTAAATATTAGCATTCATTAATCGAGTGAACAGAGAGACCACACCAACTCTTCAGTTCATCATTAGTTTGTCTCTGCTTCAGTTTTTACTTAATACATCCGTTTGGAATGATTCCAGAAAACTGATCAGAAACACATTCGGATGGTCACAGCAGTAGCATAAAGGAAGTAAAAATGCAGAATTGAAACATCAAGTCTGTTGGATAAAGGTTGATATTAGGCCTATCAGTATTAATCAAACTAATCAGATTTATTCAAATGTAGACAAACATGTTCTAGCAGGAAACCAGAGTAGCCCAAATAAGAAGAACCTGCTCGGAAGCATTTAGGCAGCTAAAGATAAAGTGTGTCACTGGTTCAAAGATAACCTGCAACTGTGTATTATTGTTATTATTATTATTATTCAAAAACAGACTTCAATGTGTCATCACCGGGTATGTATGTTTATGAATCAGAGCAGAGGACGCCCTACAAGAAGAATAACACTGCTTTATTAAAATTTAATTTGGCTACATTTATTCAAGCATGGTCATTTCAAAGAGAAATTAGAAACTCAATAATAATACTTTTCAGGAATTCCTTCATCATCATCATCATCAGTCCTTCATCACCTCTTCAGTGGGATGAATAAAGTGGATTTTTTTTCTCTCAAAAATACAGTGTTTTCACAATAGTTATCGTATCAAAAGTTCCCCAAATTTAGAATTTCCAGTAGTTTCAAAGGAAATAAAACAAGAAGAAAAACTGAAATGTTCCAAATACCACAGATGCTCTCATATTGTTGCTCCAATAGTCAATGACAGAATCATTATTACTAAAATATAGCTATTTGTGAGGAACTCTAATACTGTACACTACAGTATGAAATAAATAAAATTAGGAAATATAAAATGAGTCACATAAATAAAATGGTAAATTCTCAAATAAAAACAAAAAAAAAATGTGTTGGAAAGTTCAACAACAAAACATTCATAATACTGATAAAAATACTGTCATGGAAGAAGAAATACAGAAAATTGCACAAACATATGTAAACTAACAAACTGCTCTCTATCTTTGCTAATACTGACAAATCAAAATGATGAAATATTCATTTTTAATACTGAAGCCAAGCAGAGGACAGGTGGCGTACACTACAGGGATGGCACTTTGCAGAAACACACAGGTGAGAAGGTTTGCATATAAGGCGGTCTCTGGAAAAAACACACAGAAAAGGCTCTGTCCATTTTTATTAGATCTTTTGGAGCTCTTTTATATCGCACTCCTTCCTCTTCTTTTTAAGACTCACATTGACATTTTGTTTTGAAAATCACACAGGTATAAATGTTCCTCCACATAAAATAAAATAAAAAACAAATCTGAAGGCCCAAAACTGTGTGGTTAGTTGGCAAAAATAATGAAACAGAATAAAAATAAAAAAATGTCACAGTAAATAAAAAGAGGCAGAAATACAACAATAACACTGACAGGACATGTTCGAGGCTTTATTGCCTCTTTTTTCATTCTTTTTTTTTTTTTTGTAGTGATTCAAGGAGTCGAGTGCAATTTCCTGATGTGGGGTTTCGAACACACAAGACACAGGAAGTTAAGAACATTGTAGCACCACACAGCTTTTAGGCCTTTATAATACTGTACATTAAAAACAGCTTCACTTCATATAATGATAATCACTATTACTTCTTCTTTTATTTTTAATGTTTTTTGTTTGTTTGCATAATGTGGATTTTTAATTGAACCCACCTAGCTTCATCATGTCAGTGGACACTGAATCTCTGGTTAGACAACGTCCATCTGGAATTTATTTGGGACAAGGAGGCAAAAAGGCAAAGACCCCCCTCCCCGTGTTTTATTTTACTAACGTGTCACTTTGAATAAACAGCTGAATTTTATCTGAAACCTTTTGTGATCTCTGAATTATCAGGTTCTGTCTGTGATCTGAGATATTTTGATGGACATACTTGGCTGCTGCAGCTAATTCTGCAGTCGGTGCCACTGTACTTATTGCATTTAGCTTGAATGATGGAAAACCGTGTGGAAAACATGACAGAAATCTGAAGTTTGTGATAGTTTCATGTGCTCATGTGAAGAAGGTCACACAGCCTCCTCATTGCTTCACACACCTGATGTTCTCATTATACAAAAAGAATACTGTACTCAGAAGCCCAGGCCTGAATGTAGTGGTTCACAGTACATCCTGGGGTTACCAAGGTGACTGCATATATCAGCCTGACATCGTGTGTGTGTCGGCAAACAGGCTACAGGTAAATATTATTTCTACCATAAACCAAACTAAACTCAGAGATATATCAACCGAATGATGGTTTGACCATTAACACCACTGAACATTTTAAATAAGAACCACTGTGTCAGCAAAGAAGGGATTGCTTCACTGATCCAGGGTTAGTTTTCCATAATACATTACTGACATGGCTACGGTATGATGGTGGTTCTAAACCAGCTCTTTTAATAAAACTATATCATACAAAAAATCATCTATTTTGAGGTTGTTAGGCATATTGGTGTTTGATGTTATGGTCCATTTTCAGTTAACAAATACGATAAATGTTGCACAGACATGGTAATATGGTACCAGTAAGCTCTTTACTATGGTACACCTGGCAGCCCTGCTGTGCAAATTGAAAATGCAAGTACAGCTACATGTATGGCAACCCAACCCGACTGGTGCTTTACATGTACAACGTCAGAGCATGACGCTGGAGATAAGAGCTTTCAAATTTTTCAAATTTTGACACTTAAATGTCAAGATAACTTATTTCTGAACAAAATGTCAGGTAGAACCTGATAAATCTAAGGTCACGATTTAGTTTTACTATAGTTCTGCTTTCAGTTGTGATGCAGAGTTAAATGAAAATGGAAGTGACGCTCTCAGTCGCCACCAGCTGAATGTGAATGTGGTTGGTTAAAACTCACCAGTTTTTCGTTTTTACAATAAATCCAACAGGGAGTGCTGAAACAACATGTAAATTGGGGCTATGTAAATGAACACCCCCTCATGCCCCGATCCTTTCTGTACAGCCCCAAAACAGGAGAAAATAAATTGAGGGTCAGTCCTCCTGGTCCGACTTGCCGTCTGTCTTCCCTTCTCGTGAACTCTTGTCTATGTGCGTGTCTTTGCCCTTCTCATTACTTGTCAAGTCCATGTGGCTCCCACCTTCGTCCTCCTCCTCTTCCTCCTCTCCATCCATGAACCTTGCTTCCTGTCTGTCTGTCACCTCCTCGTAAGTCTTGCTGTCCACTTCCCTGTCCTCCCCTTCTCGCTCGCTGCTGTCCCTCAGGATCGTACTGGCGCCCTCCTGCTGGTCCTCAGGGTCTGAGTACCTGAGTGGCCCCAGGCCCTGCAGGTAGGCCCTCCTCATCAGCAGCTCATTGGGCTCCAGACCTTCCACTACACCTCCTCCCTTGTCCTGTGCCTCCCTCTCGGCCGCCTCGCGCTCCTCTGCCTCTCTCTTGCAGTAGGAGTAGCGGTGGTTCATGTGCTGTGAGTAGGAGCCCGAGTGTGAGAAGCGTTTGCCGCACTTGTCACACTGGTAGGGCTTCTCCCCGGAGTGCAGTCGCGAGTGCTCGATGAGATGGTGTTTGTGTTTGAAGGCCTTCTTACAAATCTGACACTGGTGAGGACGCTTCCCTGCAGAGACACAGGAGAGAGGGGGAATCAGCATGGACACAAATCCTCCAGAGCACAGCTTCAGCTGAGACACAACATGCAACATCAGGAGGACCAGAACCAGAAAGAGACTGAACAGCCTTCATTTTCTGGCTGTAGAGCAACACAGCCTTCACACAAAATTTCCTCATTCTGACTAAGCTCAAACCTTTCTTCCAAAACGAATCCTCAAAAAAAGCATGCACTGAGCATTTCAGTCATTTTCAATCTCCCAGGTTCAGCTTAACCTTTGGACTTCTGTTGAGACAAGGAACTGGAGAAATGGTGATGTGACCAAACTACGTATCAATCCATTAATCGATGAAATGAATTTATATTATTGTATTTCTAATTGTCTGCCAGTAGGAAAAGGACTTTCCCTAAAGAAAGAACATCAAGTCACTGTCTCATAGTTCCATGTCTTTTAGTCTTATATCTCATTCCGTCTTACTGATCATGTTAATTTTGTGTTCACAGGTTGTTGTGTTTCTGTTATTTTGTCCCTCCCTGTTATATCACTGAGGCTAAATAGCAGAAGCAGCTCTCACAGTGCAGCTGACCAGCAGCCTCCACAGTGATCACACCGGTGAGCTAGCACCTCCGTCACAGTCTGAACACAAACTGAACATCATCACCTTCAAGGAGGGTTTACTGCAGGACTTTGGATTATGTATGCAACACACCGAGCTGTGGGTGGGCCATCAGTCAATGTCTGGCCATCAGTGAGCATCGCTCTAGTTTTTGAGGTGTGTCCTGCACCAGTGGCGCTAGTCGGACCCTGTCAGTGGCTTTTCAGCCAATTCAACGTGTTGATTCACCAGCGGGCCCCTTGGTGAGAGAGACTACTCTGATTAGATATTCATCTTAGTGAATCAGTGCATGAGAAGAGAACGGGTCAGGAAAGTCCCTTCAGTCTGTCGCTGTAGTCTTAATGATTTCACCTGTTTAGTGCAGTTTCTCCTTATTTTTTGCCTCCATGCCCTCCTTTCTTCATTCACAACCAAAAGTCCAAGAGCAGAGAACGGCAGCGCCATTTGCATCACCCTGGTTCTCGATTAGAAGGAGCTAAAACCGCCTGCGGTGAGCGAGGCACGCTTTGTTTACAGTTTGCATTTGTGCAGTCTGGCTCTTCTTCTTTCCCTTTCTGAATGATGCATACAGACAGGGTTATTTCTGTCAGGCAGGTGCAGAACGTACATCGGCTGCTGACTGTCATCTGTGTGGTGTGTTCAAGTGCCACTTTTGCAGCCAAAAGAAGGTGACGTGAGGCAATGCAACAGTCGACCTTCATCACAGCTAGTTCTTTGATGCCAGCAGGGCGTGTCCCACCAATGAGTCTACATATATGTGTCTTGTATAAACTGTATATCCAGTGAGTACAGTGACCCACATGCTGCAGAACCATCTGGTTCTTTCATAAAACTGAGGTTAAATCTGGCCTTTCATTGTTTAAGAGAAGAGATAACTCTGTCTGCTGATTGGCTCTTATGTTGTTGACATGGCTTGTGCTCATTTCACAGTCAAAATGCAGAAACAGTAGATACTCAATCATGATGAGTATGAATCCATTTGTATCTCATCTTTAAAGCTGATTTTAACTTTTTTTAAACTGGGGTCTCCACACAGAGACAACATCACCTCTAAAGAGCCTGCTACTGTATGTGTCTATCTGTTGGTGAAGGAGATGCCATAGACGCTGCAAGGAAACATGAACCTGCAACAGTTTGCAGCCAGATATTTATTTAAACCTGATTTGAATCTGAGTAGGATCAGGAGTTTCAACACTGCCCTCACCTAAACCTGCTTCTAACCTGGACCTTGGTTCTAAGCCTGAACTCTCAAACAGCTCTTTGGTCATGTGAGGATCAGGCCTGTCCTCACAACAAGAGTACTAAACTACAATGTCCACACAACCAGTGAAAGATGTGTACAATGACACAATCGCACACAGTAATGCACACACTGCTGGATTTACTATGACACTTCTACCATTTGACTGAACAGGATGCCACAGCTTGCTGCCAACCGGCAGGCTGAACTTCGTCCAAACATACAGCCCACGCACACATGCACCAAAAACACAGCTTCACCATGACCATGCCTACAGAAACACGCACATGCATAAAAACGACACACATACATGCTCACCTCCTCACACACACATGCAGTCAGATCGTAGCCGCAAATAGACCTGGATCATTCACCACAGCTGGCATAGTTCACTGTAACACACACACGGGGTGGTAAAAATATAACTGAGATGGTGGATTCCTGCTCTGAGTGCTGGGGGGCGACCATGAACCAGGGATGATGCAACAAAGTGAAAGAGGTGAAGGTAGAACAGATCGCGGCTTTAAAAAAGGATGGTATTCAGGTAAGTTAGTTATTTACACCAAGCTTCCAATTGAATTTTAGCTTTATTGCTCACTTTGGGTTGATTTGTGGCCAATGTATTTGTTTTCTAGACAGTATATAGAAAACTCAGGAGGAAGTCAGTCAAGGGAAAAATGTCAAAATACTGCAGAGTGATCCAGCTACAGAACAGCGATTCCCCCCCTCCCAGAAAGGTTCTACCTATAAAAACCTGCACAGTGACCCCAACCACAAATTACTGAGGTGAGTTTGTCATGTCTGCCAAACCTCACTGAAAAATACACAAACTAGTTTTCTGAGCTCTGTCTGAGCAGATACTTGCCTAAACGATGTATCACATCAGAGGAAATAGGCCTGGCAGCAGCCTCCAATTAATGGATATCAGGAGGAAGAATGTCAACATGGTGCTAAATGAGTCGACTGCAGATCAGACAGCAGCCCTGCAAGTCTAGAAGAAACGTAATCTATACCATGTTGCCCTACAAATGACAAAATTGATGTTTTTCATTCTGATAACAAGCAAATATTTCATTGTGCCTGAATAAGTGTGGAGTCAGTGTGCAGATATTACTCATCTTCATTTCTTTCCACTGACATGTGATGTGTGTGTAATTATGCTTCTTCTATTTAAGAACATCTCCTTTACACCATTTCTCTCAAATTCTTCCTTTGTTAAATAAAATGCTACACATGTGGGATCATCAGTTTGTGGCTTCTACCAACAAAAAAAACAGGTTTTAGTTGAAATCTCTTAAACAGTGCCCAGGTTTTATATTTTGATGCACCAGACTTTTCTGTCTTAGATAAATCAGCACTGAAAAGAAACAAGCAAAGAAAGACAGAAATCAGGGAGGGAAATGTCAAAATGCTCCAAGGAGCTGAACATCGATGATGTTTGATGTAGACGTGGCTTTTCTAACACTGTAACCTATTTTAAAGGAGGGAAGTCTTACAAGATCATAGGTTTGTGTTTTGTATCAAATTTCAGGTTGATTATATGTTCTGATCTATAAAAACATTTCGTTTCTGGGACTCCAATGAAAGGAAGATGCTGCAAAAAACTTTAAATCTAGTCAGTGTTTGACCTAAAATGGTATCTACCTCTTTTCTCATCTTGATCTGTTTGGTAACTTGGAGAGCTCCAGCAGAATTTAAAGTAAAATGTCTGTGTTCCTGCACATGACTACTAAAATAAAAATTTAGCCACTGGGGCAGACATGATGCAACTGAGTGAAAGAGTTGAACGTAGAACAGGTCACAGTTTTTTTTTAAAGAATGGTACTCAGGTTTTCAACCAAACTTTGAGCACTTATCACTGGGTTGATTTGATTTTTTTTAAATTTCAGCCTGATTTTATCAATTGAGCGATTTTGCTTTTGAAAATTTGTTTATTATTCTTTGTGCCTTAGCTTTTTTAAATTTTGTTTTATATTCTGTTGCTTTATTCTTTTTGTGTTTGTGCACTCTGTAAAGCCCTTTGGGTGCCTTTTGGTATGAAATGTGCTAGTAAGAAGCATAAATCTATGCACTGTTAAGGCTGGTATCCATACTGAGCTCTCAGTTTGATTTCGATTTGATTCGTGATCATTTAAATTTAAATACCAGTGTCGCATAAACAGCTTCTTAGAATCTTGAGAACTTAATTTTTTCTATATTCAATAAATGAACAATACTACTGTTTCCTTGAGTATAAAATTATATAAAGCTATGGTTAGTGATTATTGGCTAAACTGTAAACACATTTCTTAGTTCTCTGTTGTGGTCCAAGGATTTATTTTGCTTGGCAAATGCAAAACTACTAAAAGGTGGCACACTTATTATTTTTAGGTACATGTGCAAAACAGTTGAGCAGGAAAAAAAAACCCTGCACCTCTAACGCCATCGCTCTGCCTGACATAAAAAATAAATGCTGTCCCATACAACTACATACAGCAGCAGATGCTTCAGTCCAGACCTCCACTTTAATGATCAGTCTGAGTACATGCAGGACAGAAACTGATTCATTTGCACTGTTTGTGTTGACATCAGCCTGATGCCTGCAAACAGCTGCTAGCTAGCGTTAGCTCCCGACAGGAACAGAGTGAATAAAGTAGGATCCACACAGCATTCTTTCCACCACCACAGCCTTACATCTCAAAGCCAGAGATAAGAACTCTTCAACACAGCAAACTGAAAGCTTGGATCAGCTTTGGTCTGTCTTCAGTCTGCCCATCTTTTGTATAGGATCTCTAGGTCTGCTACATGATAGCCACAGTCAGCTAACATCCTGAGTCATGACAGACAGTGTTGCGTGGTTGTGGCATGTCCTAACTCAAAGTGGCTAATCTAGCCAGCTATCATCTACTCTATAAGTCAGCCTGTTTGTGCATTTAAAAAACTGTTTCCCATCAAGAAGGCATTTTACACATGGCGCAGCTTGAACTGAACTGCTAACAAAATAATCTCTGAACACACATTAACATTTAGTGCAGCTGTATATGTATATGTATATGTATATGTATATGTAATCCAAATATCAATATTTGGATTTCAAGAATCAATAACAGGTGGTTTGCAAATATGTGACTATTATGACGTGCGAAACTCAGACGGAGGGCAGGAAGTCCATCCATCCATCGACAATCTATACCATTTATCCCTGAATAGGGTCGTGGGGGAGCTGGAGCCAACCCCAGCTGACACTGGGCGAGAGGAGGAGGCTGGTTTGTACTAAGGCTTTATTTTGTGACAAAGAAAAATGCTGTTTCTTTGACCTACACGTGGTTAAAGCTCATATTTTAACTTGTGATTTTGAAAGTTCACCCAAACTCAGTCTCATGTTCTTTTGGTATTGGAGATGATTTATCTGTGCATGATGACTTTGTCTAGCTGTTGATAAAATACCTAACAGGCATCAGGAAGTGTGTAATCAGCTCTATGTCCATTAGGTGGACACCAGGGAGTCTGTTATAATACTGTATAAACTTTCATCTTTTTGTAAATCACATGCTGTTGTCTACCAAATGTTTACCACTCTAAATGATGTGTTCATATTCATGTAACCCTATTAAAGCTTCAGGGCGACAGATGTTTCACCTGTGAGATGTTAACTGGTGTGTTTATTTCACAAACTGTTCATTTCCAGTGCAAAAACCGGGGAAATGAACAGTCTCTCTGCTGGAATGAATATTTCCTTTTCATGTTCTCATACAGTCAGAATGCACACACATAAAAAACAGCAAACATTGCACATCTCCTCCACCATCTCTTAATACACAAACGTCACAGTGTGAATGTGATGTCAGAGGAAATGCTGCTTATATTTGCTGAATGTTTATGTAATCCTCTCCATATTAAATGATCCCTACCCCCTGCTGAAAACAAAGGAACAAGTTAACGACCATGGTTTGCAGAGAACAAAGAAAAGTTAGCAGAAGTGATAAAGAAAAATGTGGGGCAGCTATGTGACTAAATAAAAACAAAAAGGAGAGAATGGAAATACATAAGATATGAAGGGGAGGGAACAAAAGCATCGGGGGTGGGGAAAAGAAGAAGTGTCCAAATGTTATATATACCTGTGTGCTCATATTTGTGTCTTAGGAGGGAACTGGTCTTCTGGAATGTTTTGTCGCACAAGTCACACGCGTACATACCACTTTCAGTCTTCTTAATCTTCTTCCTGGAGAGCAGCGAATCGCTGTCTGTCAGGTCATCCAGGCCTGACAGATAGTCTGCCGTCCCGTCCAGCAGCTCCCCCTGAGACACAGACACGCTTCAGTTCAGTACATCTGATAATCCCGCACCTGTCACCTTCACACTCAGAGACATGTTCAGGTCCAAACCCCCCACCGCCTCCATGATCCCAAGTCTGGACAGAGCTTAAAGGCCCAACTGGGGTAAGTCCCTTTCATCCAGGGAACACTTAAAAAAGGGGGAACATATGGGGCGAGGGGGTTCTGAATGAAATGTAAGGACTGCGTTTAAAAATAAAGACAGATGCCAGGTGAACAAAAGTAGAGGACTCTTTCTGATACTGGACTGTGCCCATTCTTCAAAGAACCAAAAAACCGAGATTGCCTTTACCAGAAAATCCCTAGAGCTGATGTGGAAACTACAACAACCTGGCCACTCTCACATGGACCTTTAGTTGCCAACCTGGATCTGTAGCCTTGGACCATATCACACTGTTTCCCTCAGCAGGAGGAGGTGCCTAGTTGTTCAAATGTCCAGTCTTCTGAGCACCTAACTGACTTAAAGTTTCAGGGTGAAATTTGACTCTTGATCCTGAAAAGACTAGTTGACGGTGGCACCAACTATAAACTGCACTGGCCCTCTCATCTCTCTGCTGCTAGTCAATATGATAAGCAGGAGATGGTGAAAATAAATAAAACATCAGTTAACTACATTTTTAACATCCCCAGTCTGTGACAACTGTGAAACTGAGAAAGACCACACAATATGATTAAAAGCAGCACAACAGTTACAAAGGGATTGTTTTCTCTATTTATGTTTTGCTGACAGCTGACCTCTTGTTGTGTGAGTGATCGTCCTCTCTCTCTCTGGTTTACTGAATAAAATCACATGTGCCTATTGGGTTTGCTGCAAACCTACACATCAGCAGCACGGTGCACTATGTTAATCCCAGCTACTGAACCCTGACTGCTTCTATCTTCATAGTTCGTCCAGTAAGTGCACCATCAAGTGTTGAGAGGAGGAAGAAGGTCAGGGCGAGTGGTTGGACTTCTTTGTTATACCAAAACTGGCATATTTTAACCATACAGAGGAACATTCCTCAACATCTGTAAGAGATAAACTAGTGGTGTCCAACCATGAGGCATGGAGGGCCAGCAGGTTTTTATTCCAAACAAAGGTGGTCAGTGGCAATTAAAACTCTATGTCATCTGGTATTAAGAAGTGAAAGGTTAGGACATTTATCCACTTTGGAAGATCCTGACAAATGAGGACCTGTAAAATGTTCAGTCCTGACATCATCTAGATTATTTACTAGTTTTACCTGGAAACCTGATTTGCGTTGATACTTTCTCCTCTGCTGTATTTCAGCAAATGTGGCTGCCCCAGTGGCATAGGTGTAGGCCATGTGGGGCAGGAGGCTCATGGGGTCAAGACCTGGGTATGGCCTGAGACCTGGGATAGTGGCCTGAGCAGGAGACATGAAAGTGGGTGGAGGAAATGCTCCATGTGGTGGCAGGGATGTGTAGACAGGAGCTCCAGCAAAGGGATTAATCCCAAAGATAGGACTGGTGCTTTTCTCCAGTTGGTGGAGGGCATTCCCTCCACTCTCAGAGCCCAGGACCTCCTTCTTGATGTTGACCAGGTCTAAGGGGCCCTGCTCTCGTCCTTGCACCTCTCCGTTGTGCTCAATGATGAAACCATTGGGTCTGGGTCGCTTCTCTCCTACAGAGACGAACTTCTGCACCATGTGTTTGGGCAGTGACAGATCCAGTGGTATATCCCCATGGGCATCCTCAGAGGCTAGGCTGTTTGGAGTGTAAGAGCTACTCTGAGAGTTTTTGGAGGAAGTAGAGGAAAGGTTGAGGGGTGATGGAGTGTTGCTCCTCAAGTGGTCCAAGGGGTCTAGTGGTTTGTCCCCTGTTGTCTGTCTATTGGCTGTAAACTGGTTGGCCTTTGTGAGCCTGTGGGAGGCATCACCGTTTGTGAAGCCTCCATGTAAATCTATGGCAGAAAGTGACATTGGTGATCGGTTCAAGCTGCGGTTAACCTCTGGTCTGCCGTGATCAGTGGGAGGCGACTTCTTCCTCAGACTGCCTCCATGGTGGTTTTGACTCTTCCACTGGGCAAACCGCTCCTTGACAAACTCCTGGGGAAGACCTATAGCTGCTGAAATCTTGAGCAGTTCCTCTGAGCTGAGCTCAGTGTTCATGGCGAAATAGGTCTTGAGCATTGACATATGGTCCTTGAAAGGGTTGATAGGGCTGGTGGACTGTTCAGTACCGGGCTGCTCAGAGGGCATCACGCCCCTTTGGCCAGCAAGACTGGTCTCAGATGGCTGCAGGACTGCTTTGATCTCCTCATTCATTTTGCACATGTAGCGCTCATGTTGGTGCAGTGGGATGGGACCAGAGAAAGTCTCCTTGCAGTACTGGCAGGAGAAAGGCTGGAACTGGTTTTGGCCATCGTGGGATTGTTCCTGGCCACTGAGCTCCACTGAGTGGTTTGATTTTTCCTTCTTGATGTCCACTTGCCTCTTGGAGTCATCAATCAGACTTTTGGCCTCATTGACCTTCTCCAGCGTGAAGTCAATGATGCTCTTTGTGGGGCTGCTGTAGCCCACCACTTGAAAGCCAGCCTGGGCCAGCTTCTGCTCCTCCATCTGGGCATCCAGCTCCTTCATGTAGGCTCTGAGTTTGGAGATCTCCTCTGGATTCCCGTCCATCTTCTGCCTGCACACCGTATTGTCCACGATTTGAAGCACTTTCTGCACCTCACTCAAGTTATTCCCAAGAGGCCCTGTGTAGCTCAGCAGGGGGAGGTCTAGTCCCATGCCTCCTAGATGTTGAAGGGGGCTCTGGGAGGAGCTGTGAACACCCAGGGGGCTTCCACCACGGCTATTCAGGTAAACTCCCGGTCCACCAAACCCGTGCTGAGAGGCCACAAGCAGTCGGTACTCGTTGAAGTCCATTGGCTCAGTTTTGACATCAAACTGACCATGCTGATCTGGGGCACCAAGTAGTCGCCCATTTTCCAGTTTTTGACGAAGCTGGGTGAGGGCGGGACTTCCAGGTGATGAGGTTGTGGAGTTGGGGGAGGAGCCAGGTTTACTGTTGTTTCCATTGCGTACCCTTCCATTGATGGCAATCAGGCTGATGCATTTCTTGCTGCTGATGTGGGAGCTGTATGAGCCAGAGTGAGAGAACCGCTTCTTACAGTTGGAGCACTCGTATGGCTTCTCACCTGCAACATAGCATCAAAGGATTTTTGTTTCTATTCATTTTTAACCAGAATGCCAAGTTTTCACATTTTGGGATGCTGTAATTGATTGGCCAGGTAAACATGGTTTTGGACAGCTTGTAATTACCTCTTCTACCCTTTTGTACCATTTCAGCACTTTTCCTTAGAAGGCTAGATTCTAATAAATCAGTCCTCCTCTACAGGCCACTAATAGGTTCAACACACAAATGACATATTAGTTCATCACTAATCTAAAAACACACTAAAAACACTGCTGACTTGTTTCTGACATAAAAACTATATTCATCCAGAACGTGTCTGCTGTCTGCCGGCCTGGTGACAACTCTTTGTCCAGCAGCTGTCCTGCTGTCAGAAAGACAGCTGCTCTGATGACAAAGACGCGTGGCTCACGTCTCACATTCAGCGTGGACTCCCAGTGAAACTTGAGACTGTGATGTTTGTTCAGAGGTAGTTTACAGTTTTTAGTTTTATTCTACAGTTATTTTGCTTTGTGCATATAGATTATATATTACTTTGTACCCGTCCTAAGGCCTATTCTGTCTTGTGGTTTATGAAGAAGGACATTTCGTTTGCCTGTATGTTAAGTGGAAATGAGTAAACAATAAATCTGATCCTGGCCTATGTTCTAAAAGCCTTGCAGGGAATCTTTTAAGCCCTGCTAGCAGCATGGATATAACACATCAGTCCTCCATGTTGGTCCAGACCAAAACATCTCAACTGTTGGATGAATTGTGATGAAACACGGTTCAGACATTCATGCTCCCCTCAGGATGAACTGTAATAACTTTGATGATCTTCATCTAGTGCCATCGTCAAGTCAGCATTTTTACTTTACTACCAAATGCCTTTTTGAAATTTGCCAACACATTCAGTATTTTACAGCATTACAGTGAGTTAAGGAAGAGTGACTTGACATAAATGTGTAAATATGAATCATTCATTGTTCAGAGTATTTGTGTTCAGCTTTGATCCACAGATATGGAGCAGCTCAACTCAGTTCAGAAAGCCTGAGTAATCCACCAGAGACCTGAAATGCAAGATAAGGATCAGTAGTTGGCCTGAGTGTTGGGGTAAAGACGGCTCACCGCTGTGAATACGAAGATGCTCCTTCAGGTGGTGCTTGTATTTGAAGGCTTTTCCACACTCACAACATTTGAACTTGCGGTTTCCAGCCCCGTCATTCATCGGTGGCGGCTACAGAGAGAAGAAACCAGTTTTCATGTGATAGAGGAAGAGTAGGAGTTGGCAAGCACAGTGGGATTACAACAGAACCTGTCGGGGGATTTTAATAGTATTTAGCAAAGTAGATCTGATAGTGACAGATTCTCGTCCTTCTTTAAATCTGAAACACGTTTTGTGAAACAACGTGGGCTGACTTTGTTCAGAGGTAACAGTTTCTTGTGGAGGTGCATTCCCGTCTTTTGAAATGCAAATACAGAGATAAACACAAACTCGGTTGGGGGAGACACGGTTCCCTTGGTAAAAGCAACAAAATGTTGCTGCTGACAGAGAGTGGGAGCTGAAATCATTTTGTTTCAGATGTTGAGGTGCTGAGAAGGATGAGGAGTCATGTCTGTTCGTTTAACAGGACAAAAAATCAAGAATATCTTGTCCTCTCTTGTTCAGATTGAAGAAATAACACCAAAAAGAAGAATGGAAATGAATGTGCAGGAAGAAGACAAGCATGATTACCTATATCATCTCAACCAGTAGCCAGAATATGAAAGACATGTATGTCTGAACAAAAGCAGCTTTACTCTACTGAGTCATGTTCTGCTGAGTCAGAGTGAATCTGAGAATTGATTAGAAAATACAAAATGATGTATTTAGTGCCAATATATGTGTTTTGATCTAAACAGAGCTGTATCTGAGTAAACATGTGTTTCTGAGTCCAGTTCAGCTTCTGTAACTGTTACATATTCCTCACATCTTGAAATGAGGGGAGACATCTTTAGTTAGATTACATACAGTAGATCCATAACACATAAGCGAATAAACAACAACAGTAATATAAAACAGTAAAACCAGATTTCAGACAGAGGCCCTTCTATAGGACAGTGCCACAGAGGAAACCCCCCACCCTCGACACTTACAGATGTACCTTTGGCATCTAAATTTAATCAAATTACAACCAACTGACACACAGTGAAACTGTCTCCTAGGGCTCCTGGAAATCTGGGGCCCAAAAGCCTGACTGTAAAATGAGAGGAGGGAGTAAAAAATATAAATTTGTGGCTGGCTGCAATAGGGACACATCTGGCCTACAGTTGTGCCATTTCTGAATGACTGGATGATATGTGATATTCAGTGTCTTCTCTTACTTAATGATTGATTTACATTGTTTCTGTCTAACGTTTGAATTCTATTTCTCAAAACAAAAGAGCATAAAATCCTCACTGTATTTTATCAGTAATTCCTATGTTTAATTAATATAAATATTGTGGGAAAAATGATTATATAAACAATTGTGAGCTGAAATCTGAAGTTTCTTTCCTGGAGTGGAGTGGAGTGGGGTGGTGTTAAAGGGGCTTTTAGGGCACGCAGATTCAATGTGCCGGATGGGCTGAAAAGCCACTGACAGGGTCCGACTGGTGCCAACGGTGAACACCAGGAGGACGGTCAGCAGTGAGTAAAGGTTCAACAGGATTTGCTCATTTCTGCTACTTATGGTAGGTTTTAAAGTGTAACAACATGAAAAAATATATTTACATTTTGACACAGTGAAACTGATGAGATGAGCATTAAACATTAAAACTGCCGTAGTAAAATCGTTGTTAAATATTTTGTTGAGAAATGCTGACCAGGCTCATGTGTGGTGACAGCACAAGTTTTAGTTTTGATTGATTAGATACCTGTACTGTTTATTTATGTTTACTAAAGTCCTGGATACGTGGATCTCCTCAGGTACAAGAAGCAATTAAACAACTGATCACAAAATGCTGAAAGTGTCAATCTGCTATTAATGTGTTGGTAGAGCAACTGTAGTGACTGACGCCCTGGTTTTACACAGTCTGCAAACCACTGGCTTGAGCCACAAGGAAAACTCCAAATGTGTATATAGTGTTTATGGATACTGCGGGTCCTCCCACGCCTCCCCTAATTTGATTGCACCACTCTATTGTCCGTTGCCTAAAACACACTTAGAGCCTCTGTGCTGGAGACAAATTCCTTGTATGCTCAACATACTTGGCAATTAGAGCTGATTCTGAAAACAACTTATTTTTCCAGTTGCACCAATAAATTAGTTTCCCCTGACATAATAAATATTTCTGCTCTGCAATGATTCCACTTTGCCTCCCCTAGGAGTATCTCTCTAACAGTTTAACTCAGAGGAAGTGCACAAATAAACAAGCACTTAAAGTCATTTGAGGATTATGATTCTTTAAACCAGGAAAAACCATTCGCCCCTGGGTAGGGCCCTGGGGGGGGGGGTCTGGCTGGTCAAGGAGGGGGTTAGGCACACAAAAAGGCAGTTTGTGTGAGGACAGGAGCTGAACTCGGAAATCTCCTTCCAATCACATTGTAATTGGAAAACTGAATGATTCACTGTATAGTTAAAGATTGATCAGGACATAAGGGGCAGCAAACAGGCATGTGCATGAAACATTTAGCACCAGCTTATTACTAGATTACTGTTTAACACCCTGACTGACATCTGCATGCTGTAGAAAGGTCTGGAAACAAACATGTTTCTGTATTAGTGGAATTTCTAAAGAAACCTGTTCCTGTTTCAGCTCCAGCAACAACTGATTGTGATGATAACCCAGGGAATTCATTGGACTGCAGGTGGCAAACTAGGGGGTAACATGCAGCTGCTAATGAGCTTTTATTACAGAACAATAAAGGTTTAAAAGCTCAAAATACAACTGATTATCACTGAAGAATCAGGATGTTTAAGATGTTTGGGCTGGGTCACATTTTAAAAGTTAATTTAGTATGTGCATCACTGGAAACTATTTCTTTAAATTAATGTTGTTTATGTTTGTACTGATGTAACATTTCAGACTAGTTTTTAAACACATTAACAAATAATCCCTATATGGATACCCTAGGCTTTTTATTTTTATTTTTGACCAAAATACAAAAAATAAAATAAAATAAAATAAAAATCTGACCTTTTAAAGTTTAAAAAGCAAATGGGAGTTTGACATTTATGTTCAGCAATTTCTGCAATAAGCTAATATCAGCTAATATTTTGACCTGGCCAGTTTATTGCCTAGCTACATTACATTTTTATTGCCACTTGAATTTTCTACCAATCAATTGTGTATAAAAATTAGGAATCTAATGGACCCTTATTTTGATTATCAATTAATCTGATGATCATTTTCTTGATTAATCCTGTAGTCATTTGATGTAAAATGGCGTAATTTCTTGATGTTGTGTTTTTTAAAATCTGTTCAACACTTCAACACTTCAAAACCTGAGAAATACATCCTTTCCTTTCATATTAAACAGAAAAGCAGCATAACTAATAAAACCTGGTATTTTCACTTGAAAAATGACTTGAACAATTAATGTTACACATCTAAATGAACAAAACTGACACAGGGCGTTCCTCAAGGCTCCATCCTCGGGCCTCTTCTGTTCAACACCTACTCACTCACAGACAATGGAGAATAACAAAACATCTTAGCAAACAATTTACATAACAATATCACCAACTGACTCTTAGTATCATACACTTATTTTCATTATATTTAAGTTAATTTCAAAAAGGCACTCACTGGGTAATAATAGACAAGCTGCTTAAGTCATTTTTATGCAAAAAGTTCACTGGTTCCAGCTATTAATATTTGCTGGATATATTTGCTAGTCTGTGCTGGAAACCTGAATACCTTGGATTGTGCACTTCTAGCAGAAAAACAAGGAATGTGAATAATTCAGAAATATTTTCTGACAGTACAAGGAATAAAAATTAATCTTGAAATCATCTAATTAAATAATATGCAAACAATTATTTGTTGCCCTACTTATTTTCTCTTGTGCTATTTAAATCCTTTTTAGGTGTGTCTTTTTTAATGCACTGTATCTCACATTTATATATTTTTATGTGTTACATATATTATTTAAAAATTAAGTTGTTAAAACTAAAACTAGTATTTGTCCCAACTTTCCACCAAAATCTGTGGACAAATTTTGGGTCAGGGTGCCTAACCTGATGCACAAGCAAGAGAATATTTTCATGTCTTGAACTAAACTAAAGGGAAAATCAGGAGGTTATGGTGAGAAGCAACATTTCTGATGACACCTGATTGCTTCCTCTGCTGGTATGCAACAAGACCAGAAACGAACACTGGGAGAAATGAAAACCTAAAGTGGATGCCCATGCAGCGGTGTTTTACCTGGTCTCTGGCAGGTTTGTGCATAGTCATGTGGTGCTCCAGCTGTGTGCGGTGGCTGAAGGTGTCAGCACAGAGCGGACAGGTGAAGCTCTCCTCGTTCTTCTCGTGACGATATTTGATGTGTTCTTTCAGAGACGTCAGGCGTTTGTAGCCACGGTCACAGAACGGGCACGTGATCAGCTGGGCAAAGTCATCTGGAGTGCCAGGCGGCAGGTCTGCAGCCCCAGACAAAGGTCAAAGGTCAGATAACGGGGACAGTATTAATCCACTTTACACTCCTTTTTATTACCATTCGTTTTCAGTGTATTTGATCACATGACATTTACATCTTCTTGCTTCATTTAGAATCAGACTCAGACTCATCTTTAATGGCCCAGTATGTTTTAACATACAAGGAATTTGACTCTGGTGCCGAGGCTCTTAGTGCATTTGAAAGGCAACAGGAAGAGAAAATAATAATGAGAATAAAAATATGTATATATACTGTATAGATATTACATGGATTTTAAATCTTAAAAAACGCTCATGACAACACCTGTAGTCCAGAGCTTTTACAGTTTTCTTGAACATGACCTTCAAGAATTCTTTTTTTTAAGCAGAGTTGATTAGGTTGTTTGTTTTTAAGGTGTTTTGTCTTTGTTTTTTATTTGGAGTGCAGTAATTGGTGGTATCCTCTCACCGTGCTCACTCTCGTCCTGACCGATGGCTTCGGGCATGCCCAGTCGTGTCACCTCCTCTGGGGCTTCTGGGTAAATGATGGCAGTGTCACTACGCTGCAGGTACTCTGCGATGGTTGCAGGGTTACCGTCGCCCTCCTCCAGTTTAGGCTTCAGAAGGTACTCGTCCAGCTCAGAGACGCCATCCAGTCGAGTCACTGAACACAGGAAACCGATCAGGGATGAGTTCAGGGTTGCAAGCAGTTTTATTAATTAAAATAAGAGAAAGACTGGTCAGATGAGGTGATAAGCCTCCAAAACATAATTATAGAAATGTATACTGTGGAGTGGTAGAGATATTATAGAAACAGTGAACCAGAGTTCAACAAAAGTCCTCATGTTCTCATTACTAGCTGCATTATTTCCAGGAAACCTCCTAAAAACTGATTAGGTAGTCACCGACACTTAAAGGAAAGAGGGCATACTGTGGAAAGTAAGATTTATGAGATGCTAATACCGCTCTCAGAACTGAGGGGGGGTTGTGGTCAAGAAGGTGCAGGAGTTTAAGTATTTGTCCAGTGCGACAGAGAGTGTGGAAAAGAGGTGAAGAGGCGAGGGTTGGTTGGAGTGGGTGGAGAAAGGTGTCAGGAGTGTTGTGTGACAGAAGATTGGCAGCGAGAATCAAAGGAAAGGTGTACAAGACAGTAGTGAGACCAGGTATGCTGTATGGGTTAGAGACTGCAGCAGTGAGGAAAAGACAAGAGGCAGAGATGGGGGTAGCAGAAATGAGGATGTTGAGGTTCTGTCTAGGAGGGACCAGGATGGACAGGATTAGGAATGAGCACATCAGAGGGACAGCTGAGGTTGGCTGTTTGGGGACAAGGTCAGAGAGGCCAGATTGAGATGGTTTAGACATGTGCAGAGGAGGGATAGTGGTTATATTGGTAGAAGGATTTTGGAGATGGAGCTGCAAGGCAAGAGGTCAAGAGGAAGGCCAAAGAGGAGATATATGGATGTGCTAAAAGAGGACATGAATTTAATTGGGGTGAGAGTAGAGGATGCCGAGGATAGAGCCCTGACAGGAACAGCCGAAAGTAGAAGAAGAAGAAGAATACCACTCTCAGAACCATGAAACATAAGAAATCTGATGTCATAATTACGAGATAGCACAATTTTTACATAAGTCTAAATTACTCTAAATAAATATCTAAGTCAATGCAATATGTTAAAGCTACAACACTGCACATCAGAATTATTAGATACAAGTCTCTAAGGACACCTCGTGATTTTCACTTTTATTTTGTCTTTATAAAAATAAGCTTATGCACATAAATGATAGGCACCAGCCAATTAGACACACCTGACAGTCGGTGATGCTGAGGGAGGCCCACATGCTCACCTGGACACGTGGTTACCATATACAGTAAATGTATGATTATGGTTATTACCTGTACCATTGGCCACAGCATGCAGAGATGCCTCAGGACCGAGAGGTTCATACTCAGCCTTCCTGTCATCTGTTAAATAAAATGACAGCAAACAGAGAGATTTTTATTCACATCCTCCCCAGCTGTGTGGCAGAGGATAACGGAGGTGGAGCGCTGCAGGCGGGTCAGCTGGATCCCTCCGTGACACAGCCACAGTCTGAGGTTATTTTCCACATAATGAGTGACCCTACAACTGTGGCCTTTTGTGTTGGATCCTCCTGGGCCTCCTCGTGACTCCTCAACAGGAGTCACAAGTATCATAAGCTTCAGTCAGGCCTTCAAAGGAGGGACACTGCCTCCTCCCCCACATCAGTGGAGAGAGGAGGCACACTGCCTCCCCCACCACCCATAACCCAGGAACAAACAAGGCAGAATAAATTCATGTGAACTGTGTCTACCTAGCGAGACCTCCAGCTCAGACACACTCCGAAGCTCTGTCACAGGAACCACAATGTGTTACAGCTTCACCAAAATGGAAAAGCAGGTCACATCTGCTGAATAAAAGGATGTTTAATGAATCTGTACAGAAAGCCTGCAGGCAGAAGTATTAAAGTATTAATCAGTAATAATCAGAGGTCTACCAAACAATTATGGTCATTTTTATTTATTCTGAAACATGTCAAGTACTCATTCATGACAAGACATTAGAAAGCAGACTACATGAGTGCAGTCAGTTTACACATGTCCAGCACAGGTTAATGAAAGGCTTCCTCTGGACTCTATGGGGAAAGGCCCAGCCAGGCCGGTGCAATATCTGGCTTCCTCTGACAGAGACACATTTCTGCTCCGAGGCTGAACTCGTGCCTCTCCACTTTCTGTCTTCACCCGCTCCTCCCCCTCCTCCTGTTATTGTTGTTGTTGTTGTTGTCGCTGCAGACGAGAATAAAATGGAGGCTCTTTGTGTTTTCATTCCTCCGTTTTCTCTCCTTGAGAGACAAAATGGAGGTGACGGCAAAATAATGAGCTTTTCACTTCTGCTTGTGGTTCAGATGTTTCTCAGAGTTAACCGCTGCTGCTGCAGCTTCTTTTTCTGTCTAAAAGCAGCTTCACCTACTTTGTTCCCTCTCTTTCTTTCTTTTGCTTTTCTTCTCTTTATTTATTTCTCTATATTAATATGTGAATATTATTTGCCTTTTCATGGTATTCGTTCCTTTGCGTTTCTTTATTCTTTCCTTTCCAGCCCATGTTTTTCCCCATCGTTCCTCCCGTTTTCCTTCTTTCTTTCCTCTTTCTTTGCTTGTGTCCCTTCTTCCAGACTTCCTTGATCCCTTTCCTTTGTAACCTTTTCTTTCCTCCTCTTCCTTTTCTTTCTGTAGACTCTTCTTTGACAGTTGCTCTTCCACTTGCTGCCCCCTTCCTTTCCAAATTTCTTTCATTTCTACTTTTTTCCATTCTTACACTTTTCTTCCCTTTACTCCCTTTCACACTTTTCTTCTTTCAAACTTCCTTTCCTCCCTTTTCCATTGTTCTTTATTCCATTTCCACCTTTTTTTCCCTCTCTTACTTCCACTCACTGCCCCTCTTTCATCTCTGTGAGGAGGAACTAATGATCTGTTTTCAGTCTGAACTCTGATTCACTTTCAGATGGAGTAGTAGCAGCTTCTCTCTGTGTCGGATCAGTGAGTTTCTTCACCCGGAGGTGTTGTTTGTACTCGAGAATACCGCTCGAGACGCCATCTGCCCCTCGGCGGAGACAAACAATCGGTCTCCTCAAGCACACCGAGTCGCCCTGAAGGAAAGACTTAACTCATTTTATTTATCATATTTAGTCTCAGGAGCAATCCAGATGTGGGGTTTGGGCCCAGACGGCGGGACTTTGTCCACACTTGGGGTCACTCCACTTATAGGTCACTTCATAGTAACCTGAGTCAATCTCAACCAGGTTAAACTGTCCTTTACAAACTGGAGGCTGAAAGAGGCCGTAGAAGAGACACTATGGATTATGGGAAAAGTAGGATCCAGTGTTTCTGGAGTTTGGAGCTGATCTGTTGAGGCTTTCCTTGTAGAGTACACACTGCCACATAGACCTGATCCTGTTTATCATTCATCTCTGTGTTTTAGAAACACGGTGAGAGGAGCGACCTGACTGGGGATGGATTCAAATGACCTGCTTCTCTACCATTCTTGGTAGAGAGAGACAGAAAACTTTAAGTAAACCATTTGTAAATCATCTCTGCTTCATCTGAGACCCAGAGGCGGAAAACCGGACTCTTGTCTTTTACACCCAGGTGGGTTTAGAATAAACATCAGTTGGAAATCTAACTTCTAATGGGGCATTAAAACTTCACATTAACATTTTGTAAAGACTGTTCATGCTTTATTGTTCTACATTATTGAGCCAAATATGAATCTTGTTAGAATCTTTTTAAAAAATAGATTTACGCCAGGTCTGGCGTAAAACAAATAATTCTTGCTTCAGGGACGGCGGACTAACAGAAACAGCTGAAGTGATGATTCTGCTGCACAAATGCACAGCCAGTCGTCATGTTCATCATGTCGGAGCCAGTGTCAAGATCATTTACTTGAGTGAAAATACTACAAATACTGGGTTCCTGCATTCATCATTTTACTTAGGTAGAAATTAAAAAACCAGTACTTTTATGTGTTAGCTGTTGGCAGATGCGTATGACTAGTTCAAATTAATTCATCAGATTTTATAAACTGGCATTTAATCTAGATCCTCACAGTAAATGCAGTACAAATGATCACATTTCCTGACAAAGGTACAGTACTGGAGGTACAGTACCTCTAGTACTCGAGTGAAAGTACAACAGTACTTTGCACCACTGGGAGGTTTACCATTTATCTTTGCTGAGTCACAAGGTTTCGAGACCTGGTCTGGAAATGTCTGAACAGAGCTGACAGAAAACAGTAAGAGATGAAAAAGAAATCCGAACATTTGCTCCTCACAAGTGTCCACGCTCACATACTCGCTGTAATATAAATATGCCATTCAAGGCAATAAGGCTATGACTTGTCTTGTAAGCTGCAGACTGAGCACAGCAGCTGTTACTGTAGCTTTACCCCGATGCCGGGCTGGAGGATGATGTGCCTCTGACTCTGACACTTTCCATTCTGTCATTTTTAAACCAACGAGTTTAATGCAGTGTTCTGGGCTGAGTCGGGTCATTAGTGTTGATGGATGGAGGCCAGCGTGTATTTCTCTGCCGATGTCTCTCTGCTGGCCTTATTATACATGCAAACGGCTGTCATAAAGCCCCCGATTTCATTTAGCTCTGTTAATGAGTCCCGCTGCCCCCAACGAGCAGTGTGAATCCTAATTAAAAGTATTTGTCTTTATGGCTCCACTGTCACCATCTGTCCTGTCAGCAGCACTGGCTTCATCACCTGCTGCCCACTGGACATTTATCTTGGTTTTAGCGCAATCAATTACTCCTCTAATAGCGGTTATCAATATCTGCATGAAACGCTGAAGACCATGTGGACTCAACCCCCGACTTGACCCGAGGTTTGACCTTTGGGTGCAGTTTGTGTAATCAGGATTTTAGAAATACTGAGCAGCACCAACCAGCTGTTTAATGAATTAGCCATCTGACAGAAAATTCATCTGCAGCTTTTGCTAATTACATCGATGAAGTTATTTTTAGGTGAAAATACCAAAAATGTGATGGTTGCAGGCCTTGCTGCTTCTCTTGGGCCAACGCTGCACTAAACCACATATTTCTGGGCTTTTGGACAAAACAATCCATTTGATGAAAAAGGACATTTCTCAAAACTGTTTATCGCAGAGGTTTTCAACCAGAGGTTCGCGGCCCCCTGGTGGTCTGTGAAGGCATTGCTGGTGGTCCGTGACCTTTCCGTAATGTAATTCCCTATGGGAATCACAATTTATTTAATATATTAAACATTCCCATGTATTAATTATAGTTGTGAATAATGATATTCAACAAATAAAAGTTAGAAAAGCCAAGGCGACTTTCAGGATTAAAATAGTGCTCATCTGGTCTATCCGCCACACAGCAGTGGTCACAGTGGTGGTCCCTGGCTCCCAGTCAGTTGAAACCCCTGGCTAATTGACCAGATGATTAGTCTGTTCGACAGATTAATAACTGATAATGAAATCATTAGCAGCAGCTCTGCTCCCGTCTAGTCTGCCCCCTCTTCAAATACATTTTAAAGACCCAGCTGTAAAATGCTCTCTTAATTTGTTTAAGCACAGGCATAAACTTTATTGCCAAGTATTATCAAAAATACAAGGAATTTGACTCCAGCCCAGTGGCCCCCGATGTGCACAGCAATAAAAACAGAATAAATATAAAATATATACAAGTTAAAAGAGCAAAAGAGCAAGTGATGGCTAGTTAATGTTAGTGTTGATTAGTTTTGTGTTTCATTATGTTAATGATTCTGTTCTTTTCTTTCTGTGAAACTGCTGTAAAAATAAAAAGTGAATTTTCTCTATTTGTTCATGTATTTAATTGTTTCTGACAAAAAAAAACAAAAACAAAAAAAAAACAGAAAACAAATAGTAAGGAAAAATCTGACCTCTGGGTCCTCACAGTGACAAAACCATGTAAGGAGCTTCCAGTCTTCATTCAGAGCAGCGGCAGGAGGCTGTGTCCTCCCATCTTATCTATACCACAGCTCTTTATCATGTGACTGACATCAGCCCTGTTCACTGAATAATGTCCGTGAGATGCAGCTGAAGGCTCCGGAAAGCGAGTGAATGATCTGTGGTACATTAACCAAAACGGTTTACAGACTAAAGCATAAACCTTTGGGCTTTGGGGCTGTTTCTGAACTGGGGTGGACATATGTTGATGTTTTCTGATATTTTGTTGCTGAAAAGATCAATAATGTAGAAAATAACTGTCAGATTAATTGATAAAAAATTGGAGAAAACAATTGTCAAGGAATGTTTTAACCTTGTCTTATTAATACATGAACAAACATCTTTCTAGTACTAATTAATATTTCATGGTCATCTGGAAGCTTTTGTTTTGTGTCTGAATAAAAACTACATGAAAACAAGCTGATTTGACTTAGAAACGCTGAAACCTCCTCAGCTCACTACAGATTCTTTCACAGAATTCAAACTCCATAACAGAAACACCTTGATAACAGAGGATTGCTGGGTAACTAGAGCACCTCAGATACGACCCCCAGAAACCCCAGTCTAAATAACCACACCACAAGGCCCATTTAGCAGCCGTTCTAGGGCTTTGATTGTATCACATGCTTTCTCATCCAGTCCTTAAAGCGTTCAGACAACCAGACATCTCCATGTCTGTGACCATGTGGCAGAGAGCTCCTAAAGGGATGCTGGGGTTTTATTGAAAGAAGTCTGCTCACAGATGACCTCTTCAGAACTGATTTACCATCCTGTTCTGTCTTTCGCTGTCGGTTCAAGTGTTGTCTAATGTGAGAAGTGCAGTGGATTACTGTGATGCCATGCTGTGTGTTGAGCTAACTCACCGCTGCCCTTCAGGTGTCCGCTGGTGTCGTCTCCAAGTCGCCAGCCACGGTGGTGGTTCTGGAGTCCCTCCCGGCCCTCGGAGCCCTCCCGGTCCCGGTACGACAGCAGGGCGTGGGCGACCCGGGGTGATGCCTCCAAAGTGGGCACTCCAGCCGGGCTGCCCGCCTCTTCATCCTCCCCTCCTTTTCCCTCATTAGCAAGGCTGTTGTCCTCAGAGACCAGCACCCTGTCATCTTCGTCTGTCTCTGAACCCGTATCCACCACGTTCTCATAGTTCAACACTGCAACACAAACACCAGCAGGCATGTTAGGTTTCAACAACAACATCCGCACCAAGACCAGGACGAGGACGAGGAGGAGGAGGACGACGACAAAGGCACATTCCTGAACTGAGAGTTTTTTTCTGTCCAGCTCAGACTCTCAGGGGACCGAAGGCTATAAATGTTCCATGACTAAACATAAACCTGGTTCAGATGGGGGACAAAGGGGAAAAACTTTGTTCCTCTTTTTTGAGGTATAAACAGTAATACACACTGTAAAATACTGACAAATACTAAATTACAGTCAATATAAATTTACAGCCAGCAGCCAGTCTCTCATTTGATTCATCAAGACAAAAACATAAATGTTTAAAACATCTTGGAACAGCTGGTCCTGTGGTCGCAACAACCTGGAGCTAAACAAGCTCAGAACAGTGGAGATAACATTGGACTTCAGGAGGAACAGCAACCAAACAGGACAGGAACAGACTCCAGAGACAGTCAGGGCTGCAGGAAGAACCATCGGTGCCAGCCTGCCCTCTATGGAGGACCTGTACACCTCACGGGTCAGAAGGAGGGCAGAGAAGATTTCTGCAGACCCCTCACACCCTGGACACAAACTGTTTGAGCTCCTCCCCTCTGGACGGCGCTACAGGTCACTGTACGCCAAGACAACCAGACAGTTTCTTTCCCCGGGCCGTCGCTCTGATCAACACTTAACCCATGCCTGTGTGACTGGACACAACAGCATTACCCCAGTGCAGTAAACTGTAAACTGTAAATACAACCATTGTATATATGAGTCTGAAAGCCCTTCTGCCGTGATGTATACAGAAGTACATATATTTATAAAAGCTGTCCCTCTTTTCCTCTCATTCCTTTCCTATTTTTGGTTGCACACATTTCCTACTTGAATGCACACACTGTTTATTCTCATTTTTTGCTCTAATTTTTATTTGTATTCTCATTGTTGTTTTCTATTCCTGTTGCAACACATTGAGAGCTTCAGTACTGGAGTCAAATTCCTGTATGTCCAAACATACTTGGCCATTAAAGACGACTGATTCTGATTTTACAGGTGGCGACACATGGTGTGCCAACATGCAGGCCTTTAAGTGAAAGTGCTGGCTTTGTCTCATTTTAAGACGCCATGCACTGTTTTGTATGAAAATATTAACTATTGTAAAACAACATTAAATGACAATATCATTTTTCAGTTTTGGTTCACATGTACAAACTGAGCAAAGGCCTGTGTTGCTTCAGGACAAACTCTTGTCTGAGTTTCAGCAGACAGAATTTCACCTAGATGGTCAGTGAGTGGAAATAACAGCGCTAAGTGTGGCCACACCACATCTGCATTTTTCAGGGGTTATTTCTCTTAAACAATAATGCTCAACTTTGTGACTGAATGCAACGATAAGACACGGCAGATAAGAGGTGGTAAAGCTGAGGGTGATGGAAGTTAAGAGGGAGGATGGGGGCTGAGCAAAGCACCATGACATCATGGGAACCAGCGAGCAGAGCCTGAGGTCGGCCAGAAAAGGAACCGCTTTCAGCCTCGTTTTCATGTCAGCGTATTCCTAATAGAGTAATATTTCAAAAGGCTCTCATGCCTCTTATCTGCGACGGCTGCCAGCTCAGGAGCGAGTGGGAAGTGGCTGAAGAGAAGCTTTTTTCTCCTGCGGGGATATTATCTGCTGCCAGCTCCCAAACTGGAAACCTTTACATCCGAGCGACACTGCAGGTTCCCAGGGAAGAGAAAATAAAATACAGCTTCCCAGGTTTTCCCCTTCCCCTCCAGGCACACGGAGATTAGTCTGTGCATATCTGCTCATAATATGATCTTTGTCTGCTTGTGAGCAGCGGCACTTGCCTCCCGGACAACTGCGCAACAGGTGCAAATTAAAAAGGGGAGCCACGGTGGGCTGGGCCGAAATCTGCTGACCTGGGCTGAATACCAAGAGCAGGGGCGGGGGTGGAGGGCGTGGGACAAAACCAGCTTTAATAAGAGGTGTGACCACCAGGATTTAGGGGGAGTTCAGACAGGGTAATGCCCTCTGTGATCAAAAAAGAAAAGAGGAAGAAAAGAAAGAGCTGAAAAGTGAGACGTGAATGCACAATGTGTGGTCCAAGGTATATGCTGAGATATAATATGACCTCACTCACGACTTAACCAAGTCCCCGGCCCCCTACTGCACCCATCGCTATTGTGGCTTTTGCCTTTTGGCTGAAAGAATTTGTGACCTACTGCAGCAGGAGAAGAAGAAATATTCACATCCATGTCAGAGGCAAGTCCTGAACTAAACACAAACTATTCTGGGCTGGTTTCACAGACCATCGACCTGTAGTCTGCTGACAACAGAATGCAAAACAGCCCAGTATGAACAAGAACAAGTGATTTATAAAACCTGACCTGTCAAATCTTGTCAAAGAAAGAATGATAAACTCCTAGATTTATTTTAGTTTATTAGGACGTGAACCAAATCTGAATCAACACAAACACAAGCACCCATAAAAAAACACAAACACCAACATGAACGTTGCAGTTTGATTTGTTTCAATAATGCCTTCATTTATTTATGAAACACACACGTATCAATAACAACCACTGCTGTGCACAGCGTTCGATGTTATTATATATCTGTTCTGGTTTAAGGCAGCAGCCAGCTCCTGTGCACACAGGGTTGATTCCGCCTTAAAACTGCAGCCTGGACATGTATCTCTGGTGTAAAGCAGCGGGTTGGGAGTCTCTGCTCTGTGATTGGTTGGTCAGTGACCTCCCAAACAAAAGCTATTCACAGCACTGTTTGCCTGCGGGGTCACATGACTGTGGCAGAGTGGCAGATGTCACCGGGGGCAACGCAGCCGCTCATGTCTCCCGTGCAACAAACCGTCCACCATTTTGTCCCGCACACGAACACACTGTAGCTCTGTTCAGAATGCAGCAACAAACTTTTGTGTTGTCCTCTGCGGACACGTTTGCATGGGGCGCTCTCATCGCCGCCGACTCACCATTGTTTGCTGCCGCAACCTGCTAATGTCACAGAGCTCTATTTTCTGGGGCCATCACCTCTGCTGCCGTCCAGCCTTTGTGTCCATTCAGGGACTCGAAGACAAAGCGGGAGCGACGCATCGCAGGGCATTACCCTCCCAAACATCCCCCTCCCCTCCAACCAGAGTGTTTTACAAAGACACATTAATCTTCTCCCTCTCCTCCCCCTCCCTTGTGTCGTCCTCTTCTGCTCCAGCACTTTCTCTCTGACTTGGTTTTTAATGCAGGCAAATACCTCCAGCTGTTTATGGGGGGGGGGAGTTTCCGGGCAGGTGGTCATGAAAGGTATGTTAGAAGGATCAGAGCGAACAGTGGCTTGTGTGTCTGGACCGCAGGCTGGTGCAGGTGCTGCGACCAAGACACAGCGCGACAGAAACCCTCAGCTTTCTCTCTCTGCTTTTTATCCAAGCAGCATTAAAGGACGTCCCGCAACCACTGACACGTGATAATGTACAAACCCAACCACAGAAAAGATTTCCAAAAACGGCAAAAAACCTTAGCACCTCCAAAGGTTACAGATGAATTAATTAAAATATGAAGAGAAAAATACTAACAAACATGATTTCAAAGAATCAGGAACATCTGAGAAAACAAAAAAGAACACACAGAGAATTAACAAACACTTGTAAAAACATGAACAGAAACCCAGAAACAGGAGCAAGAAAACAGAAACGACTGCACAACATCAACAGACAAGAGCACAAACACAAAAAACATGAGCAAACACAAGTATGAAAAACACCCAAATCAAAAGTTAAGAACACAAAAAAGAAGAAATATTAAGAGCGACAACAGGGATAAACATGAAAAGAACCATGAAGAGAGCACCACATGCACAAAAAGCTCCCTGATCAGGATGTGGCGTCCCTACGAAAACACCAAGGACTGCTTCAACGCTCTGCTTCTCACCTTCAGCCGTTTCCAATGGTGGCACAGTACACAATAAAACAAGGCTCAGGATTCAGAGTCCTGAATCACACACCTTCTAACCTGCTCACATTCTGTCTTTTTTCAACAACACAGTCACAAATCACACACTGACTTTCAGTAATGTGCCAGTTCTATGGTTCTGTCATTAGAGATCACAGATGTGTTCGTGTTAGAACAGGGGCCAGATGTGGCGCCGTGGCTCTGTCAAAGGAACCCGTCTCCACTCTCCACACACGTCTGCAGGTTAAAAATCTGCAAAAAGTACAAAGGCAAATGTTTCTCAGCTGTGGAATGATGTGAATCGACGTGTTTCAGCTCAGGGAACCTACTAACAGTCTCAGAGCCCGGTTAGCAGGGGTCTCAAGTGAACCCGTATGTACTCAGACCTCAAACCACTCACTAATAGACCTGTTAGCCTTGAGCTAATAAAACAAAATAAAACATCTGACCAGCACTAACCTTAATGTGAGCCTCAGCTTACAGCAGCCAATTGCTGCTCTGCATTTTGTGACGCTCAGTGACACAAAGTGAGGAGGGCGGGGCCTCAGGGTGGATCATATCGCCATCAGCTCGTCTCTTGAGAATAAAGGGAACCTCCAGAGAGCTGTACCTTGATCTGGTTTAAGTCACAGCAGACCTCTGCTCCGTCATAAAGCAGCAGATAAACCATTTCCCTCCTTTGCTATTCATCCAGGTGAATAAAACCACGTTGTCTGTAAATCCACATAAGATCATAAAGCAGTCGTGCTTGTCCAGGTGCTGCATCCTCATCCTGCCGCTCGCTGCAAGGTAATGAGATGAAACCAGCACTCTCTCTCTGCTTCTCTCTCTCTCTCTCTCTCTCTCTCTCTCTGTGCCTCTCGCCTGAGAGCAGATCACCTGAGCAACAACTGGAGGGGGAGGAGGGGGTGAGTAGGTAAAACAGACACTGGTGTAGAAAACGAGGTCGCTGCCTAGCGGCTACGAGCTGGAAGTGATTCATCCCAGAGAGAAAACACAAAGGCAGGTAACAGACACCTGGACAAAAGTATGTAGACAT